CAAGATATGAAGGTGATTTGCTAGCTACTTCAAGAGGTAAGAAATGTATTTGGTATTCTTGCATTTATAATGTCATTTATGATCTAAGTGACTAATAAAAATTGATATCTTATCTTCATTCTTCACACTGATTATTGGTTGTAAAGAGTCTTATTTTATATTTATCGCAGTGTGGTATACAGATATGAGATTTGTCTACTTTGTAGTTATTGAGGTGGTTTAATTTTTTGAGCATTTCTGCTTTTTCAATAAATGATTTGTTAAAAATTACAACTTTAGCCACTAGAAAGCTGTTAAGATCATAAATTACATCATAAATGTGAAAAAACAAATATCTTCCTACACTTTAAAGTGGTTGGCAAATTTTGTAATACAATCTTTGAACTTTCACCAAATAAACACTGTCGTCTTAATCTCAAAACTTTATTTTTCATTACTACTGTACTATGGTTCTTGTCAAATGAATGAATAACTTTGGAAAAAGTTTATTGTTTCTTGATACCATAAGCTTAATTCCAACAATAAGACAGAAGTTTAACATTAATATGTATTGCAATAAGTGATTATTGACAACTTAACCAGATTAGTCTTCTCTAACAGATAAATATTATTGTTTCACTTTTTACAACTTGCCCTCTTCCCCTATTCCTATTTTAAGATAGTCTTTATTTGGTGCCTACAATCAAAATTTGTCTGCTGAAAGAGTATTTAAACTGACTCTTTGTTTATTTGATTCTGACAGTTTTAAAATATTTTGTACATAATTAATTCTTTCAGAATATTGAAGGTGGAACTTCGTGTTTTCTTAAGGTAAGTTATGGACAACAGCATCTGCTATTTAGATGTAAATATTATAGATGTTCTATTTGAAGGGTTCTAGGGATTGTAGAAATGTCCATTAAGAAAAGGTGTCTGCTATTCAGGAGTGTTCGCTGTATATATACAGTACTGGCATTAATTCTGGACACTTAGTAGTTTTTAAATTTTCCTTATACTCATGTATTTCATACTGCATTTAATATTATAACAACAGGATGGTGTGTTGTAATGTTTTCTGTTGAATTTGACAACATACTTTTGGAAAACTTTAGTAAAATTATTTAGTAAAACAACAGTATTACAAGAATGCTTTATTTATAAGATTTCATATGAAATACATACCATGAAGTAAATCAATTTATTTTTAATATTTTGTTGAGCCCTCTTTTCCTTTTATCACTACCTTGATTCTTTGAGGCATTGAATCTACCTGAGACCTGAGATCTTGTGATGTGATCACCTTGAACCAAGTTTGGATGATGGCTTCTATCAACTCCATTTTGTTACTAGGATTTCAGCATGACATCAACACTTACAGCCTGGACTACAGCTTTTTCTATTGAATTTAGGTCAAAACAGTAATATTTTGGTCCCTGAATACTTACACAATTTCTGGCCAAATAAGATGGTGCTCCATCCTGCTAAAAGATTCATTGGTGATGGTTGCCTTCAAACAAATCCTTGATAATGAGCAGTAGTTTTTCCTTCCATCTCTGTTTCCTGGTATTTTTTTTTTGCATTAATTTTGCCATCTATGACAGTAAGACATCCAATACCATATCTGGCCATGCAAGCCTACACCATTACACTCACAGGATGTTTCATGGCAGCCAGAGTGAACTCAGGCAAAAGGTCTTCACTAGCTTGGCAAGAAACAAACTTCACTCCATCACTTCCATAGATACAAACTTTTGTCTTGTCGCTCCAAATACTCATTCCTTATGATCTAGAGCACACTCAATACATTTCTGCCTCTGATTTTGTTGAGGTAAGGATTCTTTCTTGGTGTCCCTTGCTCAGACTATTGTCAGGCAACTTTTTTCTAATGGTTCTGTCAGCAATTTGCATGCCAGATGTCTATTGATGATCTGTGATGGTCTTTCAGAGACGAACAACATTCTGCACATAAACATCTTTAAAGCTAAGTATTCTTACAATATGGTACAAGGACTTAAAAAAGTTTGCCAACCCTGGTATCTCAAACAAGTGAGACAGACTTAATGAAAGTTTTACTCATTATTGACATTTGCAATATTTTTTTAAACTCACCCCTAACCTCAAAATAAGGCCTTTTCATTTTCTTTTTATAACGTTTAGAAATTATAACTGAAAATTATTGGCTCCTTTCTGGTTCTCTTAAACTTTCTGTTTGAATGCTGTGAAAAGTTGTGCAAGAGCTATAACCAATTTTTTATTTTATTTTTTATCATCATTTAATGTTTTAAATGATTAATACAAATAAAAACAAAATTAGATTTTAAAATGTTTTAGAATATGAAATTTAAATAGTAAGAAAATAAACCTAAAAATTTTACTACCAGAAGATGACAGAGTGAGAAGTAAATTTATTAATACTGAAAACAAAAAATACTGATTGTGTATAGCTTTGAAGCAAATTTATCTAAGGTAAAAGTCAAAGTCAAAACAAAATTAAAATACAAATTTAACTTTAATCTATGCTAATATTATAAAGAGGTAATGTTTGTAAAAGTAAGTATGTAAGTAAGTTTGGATGTAGCAGGTAATCTCCGAAACTACTCATCCGATTTCAAAAATTCTTTCACCAATATTTAGAATGGACTTCAGGGTGGACATAGGGTGTATATTATTCCGTTAAACATTCATATAAATTAAATGATATCATCTATGGTTAAGGCTTTTATGTCCAACAGATGGCGCTACGAGTATGATGCCCTAAGTTTGCTTTTCTGTGAAAATGAACTAAAGATCATCTTCTATTTATTTATATAAATAAAAATGTAATGTTCGTTTGTTCCTACAGATTCCTTTGAAATTTTGACACAATGCTGCATTCGCATTTGACACAACGTTTTTATATAATATACATGTCGAAATTCAACCCCACTGAAGGGAGATGGTTAGGATTAAGGCTTACGGTAAAGAACTCTGCTTCTATTTATACTATTTTAGATGCAGGTTTTTGTGTTTTTGATTGCATTTTAATAGGGTATGTCAAGAGAATGTACACTAAAGAAATTTTTAGAAAAATGCCTCCCCCACAGGGGAAGTGTTATACATTTATAATAGATACATTTTGAGCCACAACAACGCATGGCAGGGTCTGCTAGTTTATATATAAAAATAACTTATATACAAAATTCAATGAAGAATATAGCCATTAATGGTATAAATCAGTCATTAGAAATTTTTAAATTAATTTGCATCATTAGTATTTTTTTATTGACCTTTAATAAATTTGAAAGAATTATAAAATATTTATTCACATTATTTAAATTTTATTTTTGTATTATAATACATTCCATGTGAAATACAGTGTTTTAATTTGTAGTAAATGTAAATTTATTTATTTATCATAATATATTACAATGGATCATTATTCAATTTAAATGCTGGAAGTTTTTAGAATTACCAAAACTCAGTATCTTGAGATAGAAAAATATCACAATGAATATTCTCATCATCACAACCTAGAATGAACAAAATAGATGTCATATGAACTAAAATATTTTTAATGATAATCTGCAATTCAAAAAGTAATCACTAACATCAAAGAAAGTAATTCTTACCTGATTTAATACAGAATTCTGATAGCAATCCTGAATAATATGTAGAGGTTACTTAATTCAAGAAATTCTTATCACTTTATTTTTAGATTGTTATTAGAATATTCTACATATTCATCTTTGTAAAATATGTTATCATTCAATTCCTTTAACATCCAGAAATTCATAAAAATCCTTCATATATATCCAATTCCTTTTTCATTGAAGAAATCAATTAAATTAAAATAGAAATTCCTTAACAGTTCTCTACTTTAGATGAACACACTATCTGATATTTGAAATTTTTAATATAATCATCATAATATAAAGTAAAAATTTTGATAAATACTAACCAAAATATTCTGACTTTTTAATTCAGGTTTCTACATTAAATTCTATGCATTATACCTACATTGCTATAAAGCATAAATTATGATAAAGAATCATATCACAGCTAACAAATAGTAAACTATAGATTAATTAAATTTAAATGTACAAGGGTGATTTTTGTTTCAACCGCCGATGGTCCATAAAACAAAGACAAATGTAAATAACAAAATGAATTTATTACCAAAATTTAGGTACACTCGTGGTCACTTTTCGACATACTCACCATGAAGATTGAGGCATTTGCCATATCTGTGGATGAGCTTTGCAATCCCCTCTTCATGGAATGTTGCCATCAGTGAATTGAGATGATCTTAACAATGTTTTGAAAATCGTCATGAGTCTCAAACCTCTGCCCTCCTAACCACATTTTCAGTTCAGGAAAGAAGTGGAAGTTGCTTGGTGCTAAATTGGGGCTATACACAGGGGGTTTAAAAAGTTTCAAGCTGGGTGGAAGTCTTCACACATTAAAGGTGTGTGAAGACTTCCATCTCTTTCCTGAACTGAAAATATGGTTAAGAGGGCATAGGTTTAAGACTAATGATGATCTTCAAAACATTGTTAAGGCCATCTCAATTCACTGGCGGCAACATTCCATGAAGAGGGGATAGCAAAGCTCATCCACAGATATGACAAATGCCTCAATCTTCATGGTGATTATGTTGAAAAGTGACCACGAGTGTACCTAAATTTTGGTAATAAATTCATTTTGTTATTTACATTTGTCTTTGTTTTATGGACCATTGGAGGTTGAAACAAAATCAGCCCTCGTACAATAACTGAATTACTTCAAGATATTTTAAATATTTAACTAATTTATTAGTTAAACTAAAATAGACAATATGCATCACATAGTTCTTACTCTCAATTTATAACATTGATAATAATCCATAAATTATTTAATTATTTTTTATTTACTATTAATTGATTTGATTTTGCAGTATATAACTTAGCTTATTCTTACTTAAATCAAAATAAAATTAAAATTATTACTTACTAGAAATACTGTAAATAAAACTATCATTTAAATACTATTCTTATTTAAATTACCTGTTTTTCTCTTTCAGCTGGTTGCTTATGATCAAAATCAATGGCCATTTTTGCATTTGGGTCGGGTTTTTCTTTAATTTTTTCCATAATAAATTCATGTATATGCAATATTCCTTCTACATTTCCTGTAATAAGGCATACCCGTTCAGTTGTACCTGTAAAGAAAAAAGTTATTTAAAATCAAATTGAAAATTTCATGGTAAATTCAGAAATGTCAAACATTTACAATATTAATCTTTTATGTATAAAATAAATATGATAGCAAATAAAATAACTATCAGATTTACACAAATCAGTCTTTTTCAGATATATTAAAAACTAGCATTACAAAAATAGAAGCATATTTCAAATATATTTGGATTTCCATAGTTATATATACAAAATGGATTTCAGTAATATATAATTCAAATATGAAATATGTTAATTTTTATAAAGTAATTATTCAACTCAAAATCAAAGCCTGCATTTGTAAAAACTGTGTAATTTCCTAATATCATAATGGTGTCAGTATCATAATGGAATAAGACATTTTTCACTTATCATAATGGAATAAGATTATTCCATTATGGTATCAATCCGAAGAAGCTGAAGTAAAAGCAGAAGTATTCATTGAAAACTGGTTCATATTTTTATTTTATGTTGAATTTAACCCTTAACTGGTTTTATGGGGGCCGCGCAGCCCCCACGCGTCATATTTTAACGATTTTCTAAAAATCTAAATATCGTGCGCAGCTGCCATTTTATATAATCTCATTACGTCGCGACTCTTAGCGAGTGCCAAATGTTCGGCCCTGTAGCACTTATAAGGATGAAGCTACGTACCTTCTGGGAGCCACGCAGCCCCCACGATACCAGTTACGTTGGTTTTTTGTGGAAATGTGTTTTTATGTTTTTTTTATTTTTACAATTATTTTGCAAAGATATCTCAATCTTGCATCAAAAATTCAAAATGACTACCAAAGAATCATTTGAACTGCTAATAGATGATAATATTATACAAATTGCTATATCAAGCCGAAATCTCCTGAAAAGAGTATGTTGTCATTTTGTGCTGGAAAAAAAGATGGTAAATATGCTACTAAGTGCAACAGTTGTTTGAAATTTATTTGCAAAGTGCATTGTACTACAAAAATACTATGTGATAACTCTCAAGACTGAACTACGTAATTACGTTAAAATGTTCCTGAGTCTTAAAAATAGAAGTGATTATATTACCTGTGGTTTTTTAACAAATGATAGTTAGAGGCTATAAGAGATACTTTTTTATAAGATTAGTTTCTTAAGAATAAGAAAAAAAATTATCTTTGGTAAAAACTTAAAATAGGGTAGATTTTTGTATTGTTAAAAAAAGCATACACCAAAAGTTGTAACAATTGTGTGATCTCTTGTAATAATTAAGTAAAGAAAATTATATAAATAAATAAAAGTTGATTATACTAAAGAAGGGTTCCATTTAGCATTTATGCACTTTTGAACTGTCACATTGTTAAAATTGCTCTCTAAAAGCAAATTTTGCTTGGGGGCTGCGCAGCCCCCATGATACCAGTTATGATTGTAAAATTTACGAAACCAGTTAAGGGTTAAGTATCCTCACTGTTGTTATTAGTAAGTAATTCTTCAACATGTTAAACTTGATTTGATTCCATCAATACTTAATAAAACTCAAACACTATAAAATTAAATTTTTTCAAGACATTTTTGTCTCATTATCAGATCACAACAAAAATTTGAATAAAGAACACAACATTTTTGAAAAACTTCTAACAGTTCTATTTGAACATTTGAAGATACTTAGCTTGTTCAAACAACACTGACTGTTATGTTTATTATGTGGTTGTTTCAGAAAAAGACTCTAGCCTTCTGTTGCTTGAGTAATAAAAAGTATGCAATTAATTTTGAAAAGCCTCAACAGACAAACAATCAGTCCCACATATTGCAAAACTCAGCCCAAAATACAACTAAAAAAAATTTGTATTAAAAAAATCTGATTAACTTGAGCTTGAATATTATCTAATCAAACAAAATAAAAATTCACTCAATAAACAAAAAAGAAAACATCTAAACCAATATCAATCTGATAACATTTTACTGAGTAAAAATTTTAAATACAATACTTGATACAAGTAGTAACTATTCAATAATTGAGTAGCCATTGCAATATGTTACTATCTACTCAATATCAGTTAAATCAAATTCTAATGAGTACTTAAGTAACAAGTAACAAATACTGATATCTATATCCCTAATTGCATATTAGGGATATGGTTGCTATTTTAGATTGGTTCCAAAATCAATTACAGTTGACCCCCCTATAACACTGTTGATAATTCCGTTTTATATGAATTCCATGTTGTACGAGTCACTTAGATTTTACAAATAATGTGTGCTGGGCTGTGAATGGCTCACGTATTTGTAAAATCTAAGTGACTCGTACAACATGGAATTCATATAAAACAGAATTATCAACAGTGTTATGGGGAGTTCGACTCCCCATGTTGGAGTTGGAAAGATTTCAACTGAAGACAACCATTGAGGAACACGGTGGCGCATGGCCAATTGACTGCGATAAAATCTTCGACAACAAAGATACATATGAAGCCTTCATGACACTTATTAATAATTATTTTGTAAGGACAACTGTAAGTGTCTACAACTAGTTCCCATTCTGTCCACATTCTTCGACTCTGTAATTGGTGTCCCTGCATGTTTTTGGTGTCTGTATTTGTCTATACGCATACTTTTAGTGCCTGTATATTTGTACCTACATCTGTATACATATCTATTCTACTGTGAATGTTATTTTTATTTTACCTGAGATTCACTCTGTGACTGTGTTTAAATTTCTGCTTGTGTATTTATGCATTATATCATTTGTGTTTAATTTTCCTCAATACTTTTTCCCCCCCTTTTTTTTTATTGTAACAATTTCTATGTAACTATTTCTATATAACTAATCTTTTGCAATTTGTATATTTTGTTACTAACTAATTTTATTCTAGTATCTAACCTCCTTTACTCCATTTGTCACATTAATTAAACAACTGTATCTGTAATTTGTATCATTGTTTTGAGTTTGTACTGGGTTATACCTGTTGTGGCATCCAGATACATTGTACATAATGTGTTCAAATAAAATATATGATTTAAATAGATTTTAAAAATATATAATAAAAAAAATTCTTACCAGGATAAAAATCATGTGCTTTTGACATTTTTACCCTTGCACCTGCTTCTTTTTGTAACTGTGCTATTGTTTCCCCTCCTTTACCAATAATAGCACCAGCTGCAACTGCTGGGACTAGAATTTTGAAGTGGTATGTTCCATTTCCTGAAAATATTAGAATAATAAAAAAGAAGTGTTTTAAATATTACATAAGAATATTAATCTTATTATATTCTATCAAAAAGTTTTAATTAAAAGATATGATTAACTTTTAATAGATTTAAATCACTGACTATACAAAGTCTGATAAAAAATTATCTGAATTGATTGTATTTCTCTAACACTTATAGATGTAACTAAGTATTGCTTGATGCTGTACTTAACGTCCAGGCATGTACTGTACATACATTGCTGTTTCTTAAACAGCCATTACATTGCATAGTAGTATTTATATTATAAATTGGTTTTATCATAGTTGTATCTAGTAATCTGGTAGTACTAACATTACACAGTTTTGTAGATGCCATCTGATTGGATTGTTATGGTTATAGTTTTGATTCTGCTTGTATAAATATATTTCTTCATACAGTATACTCCTGATTAACTAGGCTAGGCTAACATGCCTTTATCACCGGTAATAAAGGCATGAATAATGTGGAAATGCATAAGAATACAATTATAAGATTATGAATAAAATATGTTTTGGTAATGATAATTAACAGAAAATTCAAGAAAATTGAACTAGCTTCACGTGATTCACAATCAATTTCTTGTATATATACATAAATACATACATACATACAAGAAAGACTTTGGCTGTACACAAGGTGTTAAGCTGGCAGAAAAGAGGGTAAGGGAAAGGGAAGGGGAAGGAGAGAGGGAGAGAAGATAGATAGTAGAGAAAGGTAGGATCCCTCTGAACAGAGTACATATGACTACAGTACAGTATGATGCTGGCGTGCAGTTTTTAGGCTGCAAGGCTGTAATCCCCAAAGGGTCTAAAAGAAAACCTGAGTGTAGCGAACACCAATGATTCAGTACTGCCACAAATAGCTAAGTGTAGAAGTTAGTGCCGAGTGGCTGTTAGTAGGAAGATTTATAACTACTTAATTCTAATGAAAATGAACGCGAGTGGAAATCTTAATGCTACTTAACAGCTAGACACACAGTGCGAAAAAACAAACAAACACAATGACAAACTAGACAAGATAAATGGACAGACAAAAAAGACAAACACGCAAGACCCCAAATGTTTTTAAATTTTATTTTATTTTACAATTCCTATACAATTTCTTATATTGGTAAACCTGTCCAAAGCAAAACTCAAGTAAACAGAAATTGCCCTAGAGGACGAATTAAAGAAAAATTAATAAACAAACAAAATAAATAGTGATAAATTAATAATTGTAAAAAGGACCTCCATGCAGTAGCCAATGAGTCCACATCTCTATGGTTTATACAACCAGTACCCATGTGCACCTTATAGATTTCCAATCTCTCCAGATGTTTATTAGTTGTCGTTTTTATACAAGAAAGAGGCATGCCTATGGGTAGTCCTACATATGCAATCCTTTGTGAATTGGTTTTGCGTCAACTTGAAAATGCCGTCCTACCCGAATTTAAACAACAAATCGTTTTGTACGCTAGATACGTTGATGACATTTTCATACTTTGGCGTGACATACTTTTTTCATACTTCAATACTAACCTGCAATATTTTTTAAACAAGATCAACGATAACCCTTACGGTTTAACACTACAGCTTGACCAAAAGAGCAACTCCAACGTTAACTCCCTGGACATTTCCATTATGTGCAAACAAGGAGAGATCTGGATCGATATTTACTGTAAATCCTGCTTTCAACCCATTGTCATCCCACACCAATCAGTCAATCCCAAGCACATCAAGTTGGCAGTTTTCAGAGCATGGATTAAACGTGCTTACACACATTGTACAAGTTTTTATGACACAATAAGGGAGCTAGAGTACATTCTTAAGATAACCCAACTACACGGATACCGAAAGAGATAGAGGGTCTTATTTCATCCTTCCAATCCACAGCACGGCATTCTCCCAGGGTTGACTGTAATAAATGAATAGTACTTAATTACATCCCATTTTTGAACAAGATACATAGATCCACTGCCAGGTCTAACAACATTCGCATTGTATACCGACGTAATTCCACTATTTTCAAACTTTTAAGAAATGATAAAAAGAAAGAGGATCGGAATTCAACAATAGGTATATATTCAAGTGCCTTTACATGACCAATGTTTCAATTTCAAGCTGATTTACGGGGTGCGACGATGCGCAGTTTAAAACAAAGGCTCAAATATACAATCAGTAGGAACCTTGATAACACTGCATTAACATCCTGTTGCCTTGCGTATGACACTAATGTGCAATGGGATCAGACGACAATTATAAAAACGACGACTAATAGGCAAACAATCAAACATCTGGAGAGATTGGAAATCTATAAGGCACACATGGGTACCGGTTGTATAAACCATAGAGACGTGGACTCATTGGCTACTGCATTGGAGGTCCTTTTACAATTATTAATTTATCGCTATTCGTTTTGTTTGTTTATTAATTTTTCTTTAATTCATCCGCTAGGGCATTTTCCATTGATTTTTATTTTTTTATATTTATTTTGAACACATTTTATGGTCTATTGATATATTTAATATTCTATTTTTGGTAACTGAGGATGATTGTTAAAAAACGGTTGAGAACATTAATATTTTATTAAATTTTGCTGGATTTATATTGGTGTACTTTATTTTTTACCTAGTTCTAGTTTGATAAGTTCCTGAAAATATTGAAATATTTCATTTAATATAAATGAATAATATTTTTCTAAAGTTTTGATCATATTTATTATCAAAAATTGATTACTATTTTCATTTGCATTAATGTATATAGCAAATGCCTTGTCCATCTTATTCTGTTTAATTATTGCAAAATTGTGTACTGTACAGTAAGTATGCTCTGCAAGATTAAACAATTAGCAATTATTTATATATATAGTGGAACCATGCTTAACGAGCAAAACAAATTGTAAAAAATTGACCTCGCTTAATGAGCAATGTTTTGCATAATGAGTGACAAAGAGAAGAAATCCTGGATTGTGTGCACGCTCCATCAGTCGGTGTTTAGCACTCATTCCGCTATCATCTTAGTGTCTCTTGTGATCACACATTTTTTTCAAACTTGTATTCACACATATTATGTATAAACATCGACAATCATAGTCTGTTATATAATAAACACACCATATTGTACTAAATTTAATGACCAATTCCAAATTAAATTTTAAAAATGTCTAAATTAAAAATTAACTATTTATAATTATTAAAGTTAATATGAGGTGGGAGCATAATTGCCTACCTCTAGTCAAATTAATTAATTTCAAATATTTAATTATAGCCTTTACATAGCCCAAGAATTTGGCATATTGTTTAGCATGTTTATCAGACACATTATCTGTGATTTTTTTGTTTTCTACAAATTGAATTCACATTCCAAATTGGTACATTCTGTGCTAGAAGAAATGATGATAATTCATGCTTCTTAACAATGTATATTGTGTAATTTTTCTTTGAATAAATGTTATACATAAAATATTTGAGTATTTTTTCAGCATGGAATGCATTATTGTATTTTACATTAATTTCTATGGGAAAACTGTTTCACTTAATGAATGTTTCGTATTATGGGTAAGATGCTGGAATGAATTATGCTCATTAGTGAGGTTCCACTGTGTAAGATTTAGCAACATCTCTGTAATGTAATATTTTGTTAACAATTATAAAAATTTCTAATCTCTGGCAAATATGTCAAACTTCAAAATTATAGAAAGTTACTCATTAGGCATGACTATATCTGTTTTTTATTTATTTATTCAAGCATTTTGATGAAACAGCAGATAATGTTTTTGTTTTCAAAATGTTGAACAAGATAAACATATTTTGAAAGAAAAATTGACAATTAGAAGCCAAAAATTATAATAAAATGAAACTTGCTTCCTTAATTTCTAAAAGTCATTAACAAATGTTTCTAACAATGGAAGGATTGCTTCAGTTCAGTAAGTGTACAAAATCAGATACAACCTATCTTGAAGAGGAATGACTTCTGTTCCCTCATTCTGATAAGTTAAAAAATTTTTTTAATAACTTAAAATATATGAAATTGAAAACAAATTTATCAATCTTGATATTTCTTAATCAGACTTCATATTAACCAATATAGTCTAAAAATTACAAAACACAAAGTAATAAATATATAGTTAAAACATTCACTACTTCAAAAACTGGTTGTATAGAATAAAAATATACATGCACCCAAAACCAGACTGCAAATTGAGTGTTGATGTAGTTAAAATATTTTTGTAGTATTAAAATCAATGTGATAGCAAACAAAATGAATATGTTTAGTTTTCATCTGGAATAATTTCTGTTGATTACATCTATTTGACATTAAATATTTCATAAGAGTTTTTGGACACTATAATTTACATAATATGAAGTAAAATTAGGTTTGATCAATAATAATACAGTAGAGCGTTGATTTTCCGAAAGTCAATCATCCGAAACGTCAATCATCTGAAAGAATTCCAGTTGGCAAATTTAAATTTTCGCCAGTGCTGAGGCGCTTCAATCTTTGGCTATGTCTTGGGCTACTCAAATATTTTACATTTTTGATACTAAATTAACATCTGAAGTATAATTTTTTATTGTTTTTATATTTTTCAATATATTTATTTTGTTTGTACAAAATAAAAAAATAATTTTTAACGATACAATAGTCTTCGTTAGGCTTAACATCGACGAAAATTCAACGCGAAGCGACACGCAACGGAG